CACACACACACACACACACACACACACACACACACAAGCCGAAAAAAGGCATGGTGCACAGTGCGCACCCTTGCACAGTAGCGCGCCTCCATGCGCTCCGTGCGCCTTGCACAGTAGCGCGCCTCCATGCGCTGCGCGCACGGCGCACCTCGTGCGCGAGCAGTGTCACCGCGCACATTCCGCAGGGCGCACCGCACCGCACCAGTGCGCCGCAAGTATGATAAAAATACAACACAATCACATAACATGGCACCCAGTACAACCCACAACACCGTGGGAGTAGGACTGCATGCTTCCTGTTTCTGCTATTTGTGTTGTTTCCATTGACTTTTTGCTGTCCATGTCAGTCCATGATCCTTTAAACCCCCAGGCAAGTGGTGCCCTCCAGACTCGATCAGTCAACAGATTGCTGTGGGCATACTGGCAAAAACATCAGATAGATCCACAAGGCAGTAACCAAAGGAGAGCATAGAAAACAACCGTTGGTCGCCCAAAGAACATCGACCATCGCACAGAACTGCGAGATAATGAAGCAAACGTGGGCGCAAGACACGCACTTGTGAAGTCCTGGGCGGATTATTTTGACACAACGACGGCTAATGGAATCCGCAACGAACCGAGCAGAATCCAGAGAAGACAAGTGGTTGATGGAGATGAAGGATAATGAGCAGAATGGCACTGAAAATGCAGAAAAAAAAGCAGCACACAAGCAGCAGATATATTCTGTCTGTTCCTCGACTCGTCGCTTTTCTTTTCCATCTGCTTTTCATTCAACTTACTAGGTCTTATGCTAGGACAATTCTGAAAGCTTGCCATCCCAATTCATTCATGTCACATGGGGCCTCTTGCGCGGCATTACACCTTTTACACTTTTACTCTCCTTGTACCCCAAAGTGGGCCAGTTGCCAGCACGGAGGAGAGGTCTATGCCCTCTATCTCAGCATTCAGCTAGAGTACATGAACGACTTTTACAGCATTTTACGTCTTAGGACATATTCCTCTATCATAGTACAGAATGTGAATTGACTCTGTTTTTTTTTTTCGGACACTTCACTCACAGTCTCTGAGGATCCTACACAGACATATGTTGGTTTCCTGCACATTATTCATTGCATTATTTGCATATTTATTGAATTTAATTCAATAAATAGGTAAGAACTTTCCCGCATAACGACTTTTCATCAGAAGGCAACATTTGCAGACACCTCAGGGAACATGCTGGGCAGTTATGAGGGGTTGGAGAGTAATAAATTTTGAGAGGAGGCAAGGTAAAAAAAGGAAAACCTCGTGCACTTGCATTGGAGGGAGAGAAGTGACGTTGCCACCATGAGACCACATGCCGGTGCTCTCCAATGTGTTACCAAGAACTAGCACTGAGAGGCTGTCCAGGTGCACGCTACCTCAGATGAAATGGGAAGAAAATAGGAAAGCAACAGGTTAGAGTGTGCAGGTGTGTGAGTAGGTATGCACGGTGCAGGCATGCGAGGGAGGTGGAACTGCAGGGAGGGAAGCAGGGAGGTGGAGAGGTAGTGAGGAAAGGAGAGAGGCAGAGCACGAGACAGCCTTAAAGCTGTACTAGCGAGTGCATTGGTAGGCAGTCATCCAAGTGAGGCAGGGGAGGCAGGGGAGGCAGGGGAGGCAGAGAGGTGCGGAGGTGGGGAAAGAGGCAGAGAAGGATCAATGAGAGGCTCACAGTTGGAAAGCGCTGCAACAGCTGCAAGGAGTGCACCATCTAGAAGAGATCCATCCGCGTCCAGACAATAAACATCCTGCCAAGGGCAATCCAATGAATCAGCATCTGGTACAAAACCCTAATGTAGGAAACAAGTCATTTTCAATAACTAGTGACTCCACCGTTCCGAGCAAAGAATACGGACCCATTACTCCCACCTGCCATCCTAGCAGCTGGGACGACACCGTGCTCTCCTACTGGTTTACTTGCATCTGCTTGAAATGTTTCCGTTCCCTCTAGGATTTTCTCGTTTGGATTTGATTGCCAATGCAGTGGAGACTTTGAATGTGAAGGACAGGTGGCAGACTGGCAGTTCATTCACGAGTCAGAGCCACTTTGGCGTTTCACAGCTTTCACTCCACGTGTCAGCAATCCTTGGATCCATCACAACCTGGGCTGCAATCAATCACCTCAATGAATGCCCTAGAAAGCTAGAAAAACTGTACTGAGAGCATTGAACATGGAGCAAGTCAGACCTCAGGTATAGGTGGGTTGCAATTTCGCAGGGAGGGGGTTAATAGCCAAAGCGAAGGTCTGTTGCACTTGCACAAAGCAGCTAACATGCACATATGTCACTTTGGCATGGGCCATGTCAAGTGCCGACCGGTCAATACCAAGGGAAGAGAAGGAGATGAGGAGGACAAGAAGGATAAAGGATGACTACTGAGTAGTTAGACAAAAGAAGAAGAAGAAGAAGAGAGGACAACGAGATAAAGATGAGGACAAAGAGGAAGATGGGGCTGAGTGTCGCCAGAGCAGTGATGATGACAACTATGGCCGTGAAGGAGGCGGCGGCGGCGGCGGCACACAAGAGGTGTGGGGTGTGGAATGTAGGAGCAGAAGCAGCTATTGCAAAAAAATCAAATGACACTTTCCATGCCATTCCACAAGAGAAGCAGTAACCATTGCATGCTCAGCAAAATAACAAGCAGGCTATTCTTTCTTTCTTTCTTTTTTTTTTTATATATAAACAGAACCCCACGGTTCTGGCTCAACAAGCAGGCCTATTCTAATTTCTATGCAACAAAAACTCTTCTTTGTGAAGTAGGATTACCAAATGGCTATTCTTGAATTCGGCGAAGAGCGAAGCCCCCGGACGGCCTTCAACATGACTACCATAACAACCTATTTGATTTCTACTTCGCACCGCTGGTAACCCAACATCAACCTTTTTAATAGTTTTTATTCTGCTTCCAACATTTTTAACAGTTTTTGTTTTAGCAATCTATTCCTGCTTCTCAACATCAGTAACAAGTCGTACAAACAAATGCCATCTCCGTTTGAGCCTGTTCCCCTTCTCGGAGCTCGTTCCGATCGGATGATATGCTCTGGATAGCAATGACGGATGAGCTCACCACCTCCCAACCTGCAAGTGGTTTGAGATCAGGCGAAACATGGGTGCGAGTTGAATGAGCTTTTTACTTCTGGACTGGTACTTCATCCACACACTCCTGCACGACCGTGTGACTCTGTGACAGCCCTTTCCCAGCTTTCACCTTCCCTCGTATCTCCAAACATAGAGAGAAAAGTGGAGGTAGATCAAATGAGTACAGCTGTGAATCTGCCAAAAGTACCCCTGTACGACGGCCTTGAGATATCATCATATTGAACTGACCGGCACAAGGTACTTCAGAATCGTAGCATTTTACTCATCTGCTTCCAGTGGAGTTCGAACTCTGGAACTGGTCTGTATGTCAAAAACCGTTCAGGGGGGATGTACCAACTGAGTTAGCTACGACCGACATTTGACAAAAAAGTTGTGAGGGAGCACTAGAATCACCAAGGAGGACTCACCACATAAACCTTCCATGCAGAAAGCGCAGGCACAATACATAGCTCCTTTTTGTCAATCAATCCTGCACTGGCATGAAATGATATGCACATCAGATCAGACGCAAAACGGATTCCACAAGGCCATCCAGACAGAAAACCATTACATTGCTGCAAAAGACAATGAATGGAAGGTTCAATTGTCTCTTCTAAGTCTTCTTCAATAAAATAGGGAGCCGCACATACCCATTCACACCGTGCATCCAAACAGCATCAGCGTCACCTGATTTCACTGACAGATCATGACAGAGCACAGATCACAAGGAAGACAGGAATTGCAAAAGGAGCAAGACACCCCTCATCGCCACCTAACGTCTGCTGGAACCTGGCAGTCTCAGAAAGCTTTTACGCAATGATAATGAGTTATTACAATCGATGTTTGCTGCTCTTTCAGAGGCTCAAAGGTGATGGACCTCGACGAAAAGCCATAAAACCTTGTTACAATCCACAAGTCTTCCATCAAAATTGATCGCAATCATAGCCACCTGGTTCCCTGGAGCGGGGTCTACACAGTCCTTGGTCTGGAGTACAAAAAATAATCCTGATGTTCGGAGCTGTCCGGATCAAATTCGAAATATTCAATATTCTATTTTACTTTTTTTTTTTTTCTCTTCCCAATCTATTTTCGAAGTTTCTATTTTTCAGCAAAATTCCAAAAATGTTGTGCTGCATTGAGATACAAAGCCACAAACAACTTTTGGTTGCGGGCATGTCAAAGTTGACCACCAAATTCGGAAAAAAAAACAAATCAAAAGTTTCAAAACCGAAATGATTTGCTTATATTTTACTGTTTTTACAGCAACCCCCGGTGTGGATCAAATCCAGACGTCTGGACCCAGTCCGGACCGTCTTTTGTCTGGTCTACCGGGTCCGCAGCAGCCATGGTTATGAAATAACCCACTGAGAAAATAGGGATAGAAGGCTATCTTATTATCTGCAGAAGAGTCCGTGGCTGATTAATTACTGCAAACAGATTGAAGTCTGTCAATTCGCAATACACAATCTCCCAAAGACTAAACCAAGTTTCAGGGGTTGGTGGGTTGGGGGGTTGGGGGGGGTAGGGGGGAGGAGGTGGCAGGGGAAAAGGAGGTCAGAAAGGGTTTGAAAAAAAGAGGAAAAAGAAAGAAAGACTATAGATTACCAGACCCATAACTCACGCTAGCCCGTTCGAGCCAGTTGTTGCTCATCCCTTTTCTGTCAATTCAACTCAATTACAGAAAATTGAACAACCACAGTGGTCCTAGTGAGTCCCCTATCATGTAGACCCATGATCACTGGACTTCAGAATCACTCAAGTTGCTGAGAAAAGGCTGGGCTTCAACAAGACTAAGCACCTGTGGATCGCATTTGTCACTTGCTCTCCTATCGAGCATGCCTGCTCTTTCTGCCGCACAGGCCTTACCGATCCCGAACAAAGGGCAGGCGTCTCAAACATCACCTCTGAGAGAGCATCGAGAAACCACACAACAAGCACATGGCACACAACATGCACACGGATAAGTGCACACGTATGCACACACCTTTTCAGAGCATGAAATCTGACAAGCCAACACAGCATCCAAGTGCACAAACACAGACACACCCTCACACATGCTTTGTTACACCCGAGTGTAACAAAGCATATCACACAAGACAGCATTGGCAGCATTAGGTAGTTTGTCAATCCAGAGCCAATCATATCTGCAGAACAGTTGCAAACTAAGTCTATGATTCCAGAGACTCCCTGTGCTTCACAGATCTGAAAAGGAAGAATGGCTGATCGCGGCCAAGCTCAAATGATGAGATTCACCCCAAAGAACCCCCCTTATGCCTAGAATTCTGCCCTTGACCTGGGCCTAAGGACCAAGCTCTGTTCACAATTTTGGGTAGGAATCTAGTTTCACAGAGACTATGACGATTTTTTTATTTTTTTTTCCCCTTGGGGCTGAAATCCTGACAAAAAGGCAGACCTGTGCTCTGCACTTCAAATTACCAAGGAAATTTGCTTCCTTCGACCACTGGATAATTGAAAATGCGTGCGCAGGATGTTGAGGAGTAACAGGCCATCTTGTGCGGGCCTGTGGCTGTATGGCATACGCCTGACTTTTGATAAAACAGGTCAAGAGTTAACACTTCAAATCCCGATAGAAGAATTAATGTTAGCGGCTACCCCCTTAAAACAAAAGAACAAAAAACAAAAACAAAAAAAACAAGGTGTGTGCGGCCATCAGAAACAACACCCCTTTCAGCCAGGGAGTAACATCTCACAGTGCTCACTCACTCCAATAGCCAGAGATTCAGGTCACAAACAAGTTGAAACAACACCAGTTTCAGCGAAACTTCCTTTGAGCAGCAATTTACTCGTCATTTATTTATCCTCATCCTTTTAGCAAACCAGCGGAATACAATTGCTCCAATGCTGCCTTCTCCATTCACGAAAAAAAAAAAAAAAAAAAAAAAAGTGCAACCAACGTACCCACAAAGTAGTAGGAGA